CCATTGACTACACTTTGAATAGCAAAGGTATTTAATAGTGATCTTAACCAGGCTATACATTACAATTATCTGGTGAGATTTATAAAATATGTATTTTATGCCCTTGCACTACTGAATCAGAAATTCCTCAGGCATTTATAGTTTTCCTAAGCAACGCAGATGATCCTAGTCCTCAGCCAGGGTTGAGAACCACTGGCCCAGAGCTGGGTATTCTTTCTAACTCTGATCTCCAGATAATTCTGATCATTTTTTAGCTCATATTTGCTGAGCTTCTACTCTCTATTAGGCATTGACCTCAGTGAGGAGAACAACAAAAGAGCCTGCAGTGAAAGAGCACATGATAAATGCTGGGCAAAGAGGGCTTTCTGTGGGACTCCAGGACAGGGAGTGTGGGGATTCAGCCAGCTTGACGGGTCAGGAAAAGGAAGGCTTCATTGTATGAGGTCAAGGTAGCACCAAGTTCAAAGTATGATAGGACCAAGTTAGAACAAAAGAGGGAAAGATAATCGATGTTGGAAAAGACTTGAGTTTACTCAAGTGGAGGGGAAAGTAACTAGGCTAGAGAAGACACCAGAAACAAGATCATGGAGTAGTGCTAAGGTAAAGAGTTTGACCCTTGTCACAATGCTAGGATTTTAAGAAGACTGAATTCTGGAAAATAACAAACATGTCATAAATGTTAGCTCTCATCATTATCATTATTGCTATACTACTATTTTTGTGATTTCCAGGGTTGTGTTTTTAAAATATACTGACAGTATGATGGACAATGGGCTAGAGGGAACTTATACTGCAGACAGGGAAGGTGGTCAGAAGCTATTAAATTCATCCAGTTAAAGAATAGGAAAAATACAAAGGAGGTAGAGTTTATAGATTTGGGAGATTTTGTTCTTGCAATAATTAAAAAACCCACATCTGCACATACCAGTTTGCAAATTCCTTTCATGTACTCATCTTGAGGAGTCAGTACAAGTGTTGGTCCAATATTACAAATAAAGGAAACCGAGGCTCAGAAATAAGTGGACTTGTTTAAGGTTACATGACAAGTATGTGGAAGTGTCACCCCTGTCACCCATCCAGTGTCACCCCTGTCATTCCTGATGCATCAGGCTCCTGCCCCTGTGGTGCACAAGATAGAAACCCTGTGTGGACACTGGCAGGGTGGAGGTCCCTCCCTCTGGTTATGTGGATTGGATATGTGTCACCTTAAAAGGACCCAGAGTTCAGCCCTTGCTGCCATCAGCTCCACATTTCCAGATCTGGAAATAATGAGGAGGTGGAGTCCCCAGTACTAGGATTCTCACACAATTTTAAGAAGGACCTGTATCTGGGTTCTAGCTTTTCCCAACACCATCTTGGAGCTGATAGGATAGAAAAGGAAAGTAGGACAGAAATGCAGATATTGGGGAGGACAGCAGAGGTGGGTGGTGAAGTTATCTTGACCCCTCTGATGTCTCATGGACTTGCATCTATGTAAATCTACTTGTATAAGACCTCATACTTTGATGTATGGAAACTTTCTGCTTCTAACGGAACAACTCAAGCCCATGGCTTAGCCATGTGATGCAATATAGACAAGTAGAGATGATGTGCATGAAATATTCTGCCTCATAGGCAAGAGGGTGAGGGAAAGTACTTGAAGGGAGCTGTGCAGCTTTTCTACAAAGTCTTTAGTTTTCTAGATTCCTTCCATCTTTTCAAATTGCCACCCTTGGCATGTTGGTTTGAGGCCCAAGATGGCAACAGGTGGAGAGCATCTTCCCCCCCCGCCCCAAAATTGAATTATGAAAGTTGTCCTCCCTCTTTCTATCCAGCCATGGCTTTGGGGCTTCAGGTGGATGAGGCCAATAGCCATCAGAAAAACCCACGGTGAAAATGGCACAGTTGGAGGGTGTCGAAGGTGAGCTTAGCCTTCTTCACTTGGGAGAGCTAAATGCACAAGTCAGGAATCTACTGCTAGAAAGTCCAGACAGGGGCAAGGACCTCCCCAACCAGGGCCCTGCTCCAAAAGGTGCTCTCAGTTGTGGTGAAGCCTCCACCTCCCCACCCTCGTCTTCCACGAGGCACCCAGGAGTCTACTGGCTCAGACGACTACCACCTATGCCCGAGATGCATTGCTTTAGTCCTCTGCATCCCTCAAAAGAACACTGTATCTGCCATGACCTGCACATGCTTGTGCAGTAAGCTCCTTACACTCTGGTCATTGATATTTTTTCTCCAATTCTTTTGAGCAATGCTTCAAAAAATAAATGTCAGATTAGTTGTAAAGTTAAAAGGAACAGATTTTCTTCACACACCACTAATCTTTACTGACTAATCAAATATCTAGCATGTCCACAAGTGGCAGAGAAAGCATTTTTTTATATTTCAGTTTCACTCTTTTGTATTTTAATACTTTCTCACATACTCAATTTCTTTTTCTTTTTCTTTCTTTCTTTTTTTGTACCGGGGGATCTAACTTGGGTCCTTGCGCTTGTGCAGCAGGCGGCAAAACCACTGAGCTAAATCCCTGGCCCTCAGTTTCTTTTTAAAAGTTTAGAGCTCATTATAACAAACTCCATTAAATGAAGCAGTGCTTTTCAAAGTCTGGCCTGTGAATTTAAGCAATATTTGCCCCCTAGTAAGGACCAGAAGAACCTGAGAACTTGGGACTCAAACCAGGCCAACATTAGCTCCTAGCTCCTGTCATTTCTTTAAATATTTGTGTGTTCACATATGCTGTTTTTGGCCATGGTTAACCAACAGGATTTCTTTTTGTTGTTGAAATGCTATCTAGTTTAAAGTTCATTGTTTTAAAGAACTTTGAGTATGACTGTTGCTTTGACCTGGCCACTGTGTATGCTTTTTCATAGTAGTTCAAAACAGAGCAAAACTCTGTGGATTACCTCAGTACAAACAATTTATTCTTCGGGATTTTTCTTGAAGTAGAAGAGCTTCCTTGATCCTTACCCAGCCAAATATGGATTGGGCTCCAGGGCCATCGCTTGGAAAAGGAAGCAAAGTGCTTCCGCACAGTAGACTCCAGGCTACACACCAGGGTACAGAAATGAAAACAAGGTCCTGCCTTAAAGGACCTCAACATTTATTGTGAGAGGTGGATGGATAATTAAATAACTGATAATTAAATGACTCATACTCATACAATTGTGCTTAACATATATAACAATAAGAGAATGTGAAAAGTTCTATGGGAGCACAGAGGGAAGGATTCATTCCTGAGGGCTAGAAGAAGGATGAGGAGTAAAGAAGACTTAGTAGAGGTTGTGAGTTTTGAAATGGGGTTTGAAGATGAGTAAGAGTTTACCAGGTAGAGAAGGATGGAGAGAACATTCAAGGTAACGAGAGAGCTTAAAAAAAAAAAACCCCAAATAATAATAATAAGTCATGGAATAAAGACAGGTATGAGAATACTGAATAGTTCAGTGCTGCTACAGCAAAGAGTACTTCAGTGGACAGGATGGGAGCTGCAGAGGCAGGTGGGGGCCAAAATTCAGAAGGCCCTGGACACCAGCCAGGGGTTAGATTTGTTCCTGTTGGTGACACACCCATAGAAGGCTTTCAAGCCCATGTTTTGGCCATTAGATTGGACAGGCTCTATCCCCTGACCCTCTGTCTTTGGAAGGACACTCTGCTCTTCTGCTAGGTCCACTGTTTCCTTCTTAGTCCTCTCATCCCCTTAGCTCTGCACAGACCCAGATTCTGCCTCAAGTTTCAAGACTCCGACAATTTAGGATTAGGAGGCAATTGATCTTTTTTCAGAAGGGATTTTATATTCTTCTGGCACTATACACTACAGGCAAATGGCATGGATATTTTAGATTGAGCCAGCTAGATATATGTATTCTCTCCTCAAGGGTTAGGATAATCAGTATTTTGAGTTTAATGCTTAAGTATTTCTGCTGAATAAGTGCCAGAGCTGGTCACTGATCGTCCTGTTCAAACATAAGTCACCTAACTAGAGAAGGACAGAGCTGAAATCAAAACTCAGGTCTCCTGACTCCCAAACCAGCACTCTTTTGGGTAGGCTCCCGACTGGCTCTCCCTAACACAATGTACTTGGCTGACTCAAACCCACAGGGTCCTGATTGAGAGCTGGAGGTTGTGTTCCCGGAATAGAATTCTGTTGAGCCTCAAGCCAGGCAGCATAATTTCATGTCTGTGATACCCCATATCCCATCTTCTGAAAGATGGGAGCAGCACATACTTAATCCTTCAGCTAAGATCAGAGAGTGGGGTGGGGTGGGTTTGGGTTGCTGTTCTGCAGTTGTTTGCGATGACTGAGGAGTGGTGGAGCCCCGGGCAAGTTGGAAGGAGTCCGAGTAGGAAGAAGCCATGAGGGCAGTGACTCCCCATCCCAACAGGACTGGGTTTCCCCTTAGCAGCGAGCCTCCAGCTTTGGAACGGTTCAAGCTGAGGAAGGCTGTTCACGCAGTGGGGCTTCTGCTTTAGAGGGGCTTTCTGCAGGGAAGGGGGGGCGGGACCCGAGACTCCGCGGTCTTGGGCTCCTGCATAAACCCTGAAACCCGCTAGCTGAGGATGTGCCTGACAGGAGGACCTTCAGCCGGGCGAGCGCCGCGGATCACCACGTAGTGACGACAATCATGCCGCCACTGCTTACCCTTTAAAGCGCCGGGCACTTCACATACCAAACTATCTTGATGAAATGAACCTAGTTATTGTGAAATACATCCAGAATCGCAGGAGGTACTCTGATCGTAAACTCTACTTAGATGAAGATGCAGAGGCTTAAAGTCTCCACAGTCTCCCAGGGACCGAGCCTTGAGCAATTTAGGCTTATCAGATTGCACAAATGCATTTCAGCACCTCTTTCGCTTCAGCTGCCGTTTCCACCTTGCTGGATAAAGTGAGTCAGCGGCTAGGAAGCTGCGTTTACCACCTCCCGAGCTTCAAGGGTTGGGAGTGGGCGGTCCTTCCGTCCGGGGCGGGGACCTTTATGGGCGGGGCTTAGATGGGCGGGGCGGAGGCGGCCGACGACCGGAAGTGCCCCCGTGGGCGGAGACGACCTGGAACACAAGTCCGTGACCCCTTTCCGCGAGCTGAGGGCAGCGGCTCTCCTCCGTAGCAGAGCTTCGTCACCTGCCGCCGCTCTCTCCCTCCGCTGCCGCCCGGACGATGATATCCCGCCTGCTGCTACGCGCCTGGTCCCCGGGCCCTACCCTTGGCCTGGGAGCGCCCTGTCGGCCCCTCAGCGCCGGCTCCGGGCCCGGCCAGTACCTGCACCACAGCATCGTGCCCACCATGCACTACCAGGACAGCTTGCCCAGGTGAGCCTGGGCTCCCTGCCCCGCCGCCAGCCCTGGGTCGACCTGCGCCTACTTCCACTCAGGCAGGACTGGCACAGCTATTTCTACCTTGCAGGCAGCCCCAGGCCCCAGTACAGGAACTCCAGCACCCTGAGATCTCTTTCTTCTAGAACCAACCCCCTGCTGTTCAGATTCTTCAGAACCCTTCCTAAATTCTAAATTCCCTCAAATTCTCTGTTTAACCTATCTTCCAGCCATGTATTCTGAATCTCACACATTTCTCCCTGAAAAATGTTCTACCTGCCCGGCTCCAAAACCACCCTAACCCCCCAGCTAGGGATCCCCCGAGGTACTTTAATGACTGCCCTGAGAGAAGTAGCCAATTCCTGACACATAGTACAGCAGTGACCCCCTCTCAGCTCCCAATACATCTTGTCCACGAATTACTCGGAACCCTCAGCCCCGCTCCTCATTCCTCCTGTCTCCCGCCCTTTGAGTAAACCCTCAGTCCCCATAGGCACACCCCTGGTGTTCACCCTCACCCTCCATGTCCACCGTAACTTCTAAGTGCAGTCTTCCTTCTAGTGTCACCAGTCTCTGGTCTCCCAGCCTCTGATTTGCCAAGTCTCCTCTTCAGTATTAGAAATTTCCTTCACTGCCTGAAATCAAACCTGAACTGTCTTCTCCACTCATTCACCATTTAATTCCTGAGGCCCAATTCTAAATTTGTCTCAAAAACCCTTCTCATTTTTTTTCTTACCAAATTGCCATCAGGAATACCCAGGTCTAGGGGCTGGAGGCCAGTGCTCCCTCCCCAGGAAAAGAACATTGTTTGACAGCCGTCGCCCCAGTGGCTGGGTTGTGGGTTTTCTCCATATCCTGGAGTTATTTAACTCTGCATCATCCTTGCCCACCCTGCTCTCAGCAGCAGCATCCAAGGATGATTTCTGTGAAATTACCCTGCAGACATATAAGAGAAACTAAATAATGAGATTATCTGAGCTTGGTAGAGGGCAGAGGGAAAGAAATTGCCTGCAGGATTAGCCTGAGACCTGCCTCCTCCAGACAGCCAGTGTGTCTGAGTTGCCTCACTATGTAGGGGAAAGGTCATGTGGACTGGCAGAGCGTGTCTTCACTTGCCAAGCCCAGAATCGCCACTGACTTTGAGGCAGGCCAGCCCAAGGCCCCACCCACATTTAAGATCAGAGGGATGTTTGGGATTTTAGAATTGGAAAGCATATTCAAGATTGTTTAGACCAACCCTATCCATGGCACAAAAGTCTGTAGGAACCTGTAAGTACAAAAAATACCACTCATCACCCTTTAAGCAATCATTAACTCATTGATAAAGTAGGAGTTAGATGAGAGATGAAATTTCTTGTCTCTGAGATTCTGAGCTAGTAAAATATATTATCTTTGACATTCATGTTGATGTTACACTTGGTGAAAAGCCCCTGACTTTGAAGTCTGGTAAAACTGAGTTTCAGATTCTGTATCTGCAAATCTTCAGCTGTAACTTTGGGCTATTTTGTTAACTTCCTGGAGCCATGATTACCTGTCATGTCAGAATGGCAACATGCTGAGATAAGATGCCTGAGATAAATACCCTTGTAATTGTCATGCTGCCAGGGAGCCCTGGACTCTTTCTACTAGGAACCTTTGCACTGTCACTTGCTTATTCTGTTTTCTTTTTTTTTTTTTTATTCATTAAGTTTATTAGTACATTTTAGGTATACAATATGATGACATTCATCAGTGGGAATTTGTACCTTTACATGATGTATCTTGATTCTTATTTTTTCCCCATTCCCTTGCCCTCCCTTCCCCCGCTCCACCCTTCCCTATTTACAAAGACTTTGTTTCCATGTTTTCATTTTCTCGTATTTATTCTCTTCCCTTCTTTTCTTTCACCTACTCTCCCACTTCCCCTTCCCCTTTGCCCCTTTTCTTCCTATTTCACATTATCTGTTATACATTTTCATCCTTATTTACACTTTCAGTTTCTCACACCAGAGAAATTATTTGGTATTTACACGTGTGTCCTATTTATTTCACTTAAGAGTATGGCCTCAATGTGCATCCATTTAGCTATAAATGTCTCAAGTTTTTCATTCTTTATGGCTGAGTAGTACTCCATTTTATAAAAAAAACCCACATCTTCTTTATCTAGTCTCCTGTTGATGGGCAATTGGGCTATTTCCAAGTTTTAGCTATTATAAACTGTGCCACTATCTGCTTTTTCATAGGTGTTTCTTTTTTTTTTTCTGTACCGGGGATCAAACTCGGATCCTTGCACTTGTGAGGCAGGTGGCAGAACCACTGAGCTAAATCCCTGGCCTCGCTATCTATTTTTTAAAGTGTTTCTCTCTCTCTCTCTGTCTCTCTTTCTCTCTGGTGAGTGTGGTAAAATATACTTAACAAAATTGATCATTTTGGGCCGGGGATTTAGCTCAGTGCTGCCACTCGCCTGCCTCACAAGCACAAGGTCCTGAGTCCAATCCCGGGTACCAAAAATAAATAAATAAGTAAATATTGATTAATTTACCCATTTTTAGCTATATACTTCAGCTAGATGTCATTTTTAAGGAGTCTATGATATAACCTTGGACTATAAAACTGCAAGTCCTTAGGAAACAAATTGTGGATCAGCCTGACCTCATTCACATTACTAATTTGATAAACACTCATTGATTGAGTTTGGAGACCTATCAGCCATGGTGATGCACTTACAGTTCAGAAGAGGAGATGTAAACAAGAGTTATAATGCGGTAACTGGGAAGCAGCATCTTATAATCCTTAAGATCACGAGATACGAGTCAGGCCTGAGTGTGTGGGTGTGTTGCTGGGGACTGAATCTCAGACCCGACTTTTAATTCCAACCTACTTCTTCCTCGATGCATGGCCATGAAGAAGTCATCTTACCTAAAAAAAGGAAAGATAATATTAGCTTCCTTTCTGGATAGTGAGAATCAAACACCCTGGTAGAAAGCTCTTAGTGATGAGTCTGGCACATAGTCCTTAGTAGACATTCATAGCACTATAGCGGTCGGTCGTAAGCAAATGTCCGTTGCATGTCTGGAGTATGTTGGAAGAGAACCATTCCCATGTGAGTGTGGAGGTGCCTGGGTTAGAGGAATGAGGGAAGGACAGGTCAGTGCCTGCCAAGAACAGGCGCCTGAAATACGTGCTGTGATCAGAAATTTTGAGGTTTATGTTAGGCACAGCCAGAGAATCACCTTTTAGCCCTTAAATTATTGAAATTGGCCTTGGGTGGGGGAGAAGGGCTCATTACGAGGCATCATGTTAGGTCTATAATTGATCCAAAATAAATGTCATTAATCTGTGACTTTTCTTTTAATTCCTACTGCTTTATGTGGTAACTGGTGTTCCAAACATAGTGGGCAGGTTTTCTAAAGCGCGAGGCAGGAGAAGGCATGGAGAATAACAGACATAGAACCAATAATGTTCTAGGCCCCAAAGACAGATCTTTTAGACCAGTCATCCTGACTTCCAGAATAATTTTATTCCCCAGCAACTCTGTACAGGGCTTATAACTCAATAACTTGTGGATATTTATAACTCAATCTTATAAACATAGAAAAGGTGTTTTCGCTGTGTTCCTGCAGGAAGAATGCTCGGGGACAGACTGCTTTGATAGCAGGTGACTAAGAGCAACTCACACAGGAGATGAATCTGCCCAGTGCTTACTTTTCTTCTGTCTGTTTATGGCAGAAAACTTCTAGATGGGGGTGGGGTGGGGGGATTGCCCCGAAAATCTCAGAACCCTGCCCCTGCCTCTTCCAAGGCGCTGTGAATACATCGTCGGGAGCTAAGCTTAGGTTCTGCGGAGAGCATGTGAGGCCACTTGTGCAGCTCTTTGAGAAGCTCGGAGGAAGCGGGCTAGCACGCAGAGCCTGGAGTTGCTCTCACATCTTCAGTTTTCAAGAGAATAAGTGTTGACTGGAAGAATGGCTTGTGAATACTCATTGAAAAGGAAACTGTTACATTCAGGGCTTTTGTAGTAGCATGTGATAGAAATTCCACTTCAAACTGGCCCAAGCAAATAGGGATGTAATAGCTCAAAGGCTGAAAAACGTGTGTTGGATCAAGAGGTTCAAATGGTATCATCAGGACCTTGTTTTGCCTTCCTGCTGAACTCTTCATCTGTGTACATTCTCAAACAGGCTTTCTCAAGGTGACAAAGTGGCCTCCAGCACATAAGGCATAACTTACACCCAAATCTTTCAGTGCTAAAGCAGAGATTCCGCCCTACTAGAAATTCCAATAAAGGTCTGTAATTAATTCTTAGTGGCTCTCACTGGGTCTCATTGGATCTGAACCAGTCAGCTGTAAGTCCACTTCCAGGAGTTTGAGTTAAAGTCAGTTCTTGAACCACAGGGACTGGAGCAGCAAAGCTTCCAGGAAAGCGTGGTACTGTTCCCAGAAGAGAATGGATGTGAGGCAGTCCCACAATGGAAGTGGGAAATCCTGTGCTAGGCACTGAGGAGAGAAGGTGAGCTAGTTTCCCAGGGAAGTGAACAGGCTGGTAGCCAAGTCTGGTTCCCCAGGACTTGAGAGCTGAGTGTTTACTATGTGCCAGGCACTGTTCTGCGACTATGACATGCATGACCTCATTTAATCTGTACAGACCTTCAGAGGTGCGTGCACATATTACCCCCATTTTATAGGCAAGGCAGCTTAGGTGCAGGGTCACACATCTGTGAGTGGTGAGGCCGGCTGGAGTCTGCTTTCTGAACCACTGTGCAGTGCTGCTCACAGGGATGAAAAATGACTTGTTTTAAGAAAAAAAATGTGACAGCTTCATTGAAATTTAATTCACATGCCATAAGATCCACTTTTTATAAAGCATATAATTCAGTGGTTTTTAGAGTAGTGCAATCATCACCACCAATTCATTTACCCCCTCCACCAAAAAAAATCATGTTCTCACTACAGTGACTCCTCAAGTTATGACTGGCCTGGCATACAAACAAATTGGGTTAATTAGGTTAATGGAAAATTCATCTGTCTCTTGTTACTTATAGCATGTACCCAGGTAAACATTCAGATCTCAGCAGTATTGACTTACAACCAACTTGAGTTACAACCAGCCCATAGGAACCGATCGAGTTTGTAAGTCAAGGGTCCACTGTACTAGTCTCATCCCACCCTCCCTCCCCATCACCCTTTGTAGGCATTGATACACCGTCTGGAACTGTTTGAATTCAGGTTTCTCTGATTTAAAGCTCATCCCTTTTCCCAGCATACCATGCTCTCCCTAAACAAAGAGTAGATCTACAGTTGCCAGGATCACACTTCTTCCACTTTCTCCATCACTACCTGCTCAGAGGAGCCTGCCAAGGTTGAAACTATCAAAGTAGAGCAGTAAACTATCAGAATATGCAGTCAAAGAGGACAGAGGACCTGGTCTGGAGAAAACATGCATGTTTAGGGAAAGAAGACCTAATGAGGGGAGAAACAGAGAAGATGACATCAAAACCAGAAGGTGGGTGGAGATGCTATCTGTGTCTTCTACACGATCTCAGTTTCAAGCATACATTTAGAATCTCCCAGTCTGGTGGGGAGAGACACAAGTAAATGCCACTAAATGTGGTAGACATTCTGAGACTGCTGTGGCTTGAATGTGTCCCCCAAAGTCTGTGTGTGGGAAGCCTCAGCCTCAGTGCAGCAGTGAGAGGTAGGACCTTAAGAGGTGCCCAGGTCATGAGGGCCCTGCCATGTGGTGCCAGGCTGTGATGTGGCAGGAAGCCCTTCCAGCACACTAGCACCATGATCTTGAACTTCAGCCTCCAGAACTGTGAGGATTAAACTGCTTTATAGATTACTCAGTCTCTGGTATTCTGTTATAGCAGCATAAACCAAATGAAGACAGCATAAAAGAACGAGTAATAGCTGAGCATGGTGGTACACCCTTGAAATCCCACCACTCAGGAAGCTGAGATAGAAGGATTACCAGTTTGAGCTCAGCCTGGACAATTTAGCAATTTAGTAAGACCTTGTTCACACACATGCATGCACGTACGCGCGCACACACACACACACACACAAACACACACACACACAGAGTACTGGGGATATACCTCAGTGCCAAGGCCCTGGGTTCAATTCTCAGTACCAGGAAAGAAAAAAAAAGGAATATCAATGAATTCCTTGAACATACATGTATTAAATGCCTGCCCTGTGGCTAGTAGAGGTCAGAGAAGGGATTTCAGAAGAAGAATATCATGGCGAAGACCCTCTAAACATAACCACAACCATGAGAACCAATGCTGTACATTTATTTCCCATTCCTCATTCAGTGATAGCGTATAGACTGCTAGGAACTGGCCATGGTGGGAGTATTTGTCCACCAGAGAAATTAGTAAATGCTAAGGGCTGGGGATTTAGCTCAGTGTCACCGCACCTGCCTCACAAGTGCAAGGTCCTAAGTTTGATCCCCAGTAAAAAAAAAAGAAAAAAGAAGAATTAGTAAATGCTACAATTCAGGGCTTCATTGCACAGAAAGCTGGTTAATGCTCACCTGTTGTTGGAGCTGGATAAAGTTGAAGACTGGGAAGAGGTGGTATGATTGGCTTTGAGAGGAAAGAGACTTGTTAAACAGTGATGGCAGGTGGAGGTAGTGAGGGAGCTGGTCCCTTCTAGAAATTAAGAGAGTGGCTTTCTTTAGGGATAAATCCAAAGGCAGGTGGTATTTTCACAATAGTGAGTTTTAGAAAGGAGAGGAGGCAGGAGGCCTACTGGAGATGTTATAGAGTAGAGGGTGGGTTTTGAGAATGGAATGGGTGTGCCAAAAGGTCTAGTGAAAGGGCCAAAGCATAGTAATAGCTGTGTGGGGCCGTACTAGATATTGCTGAGAGGACAGAAGGAAATAGAAGGGGTCCAGGTTTCTGCCTAATAAAGCAGGAAACTAGCAAGGAAGTAGAAAGTGTCCTATCAGTATATACATGTAGACATCTGGATAGCCATAACTTTAGTGTGTGCTGTATGTTCAAAGTTTACTGTGTATTAGGTACTTGGCGGAATTCTCCATGTGTATTATTTAATCCTCAGAAGCCTGATGAGCTATCACTTAATAAATAGAGACATAAGGGTCAGAGAGATAAGAAATTTGCCCGTAATCACGTGGACAGTAAATCCAGGATACAAGACTTGATCTGTGATTTGAAAGGCGGTGACTTCACCTCTCCAATATATTGGACATGTTAGTGATAGACTGTGCTGGGTGAGCTTGGAACTTGACAAGCGCATTTCAGATCTCTCTGTGAGACAGTTTTCTCCACCTCATAATCCAGAAATGTAGTCTTGCCACCTCTAGCCATATTGCTAGAGAATGACCACAGAACTCAGCTTGAGTGTGAGTAAATCTCATTCTGTTTCTCCTGTGTCAGTCACTAGTTCTTATACTTTTAGATTTCACAGATCAGTACAATTAAGGAGAAAAACACCAGGCTATGAGGATTTTTTTTTTTTTTTTTTGGTACTGGGGATTGAATTCAGGACCTTGTGCTTTCGAGGCAGGTGGCAGCACCACTGAGCTAAATCCCCGGCCCCTATCAAGATTTTTTAAAAGGAAAGACTTCTAATGACCCCCACCAAAATAATCTGAAAATTAAGGACAGACTTGTAAATGAAGCAAATTTAGCTTTGGGATAAGTATCACACTGTACATATTTTTCATTTCACAGTGAGCCAGTAACTTCATCCTCATGGCAATTGTCTGCCCAGTAGCAGGTAATTCGGGAATGCTATATGGCATTTACATTGAGGACGTTTTATGTAAGGCAAAAATATATATCTGGGAAGGCTGGCATGTTCATTAAGCTGTCCTTACTGTATTTTATAGAAAACATGATTTTTGTTTCCACAGTAATAATTTTTGTGTATAAACTATGCTGCCTCAATTTATTTCCATCTAGTTTAGTTTCTGTTAGTAAAAATAACTCATCACTCTTGAGACTTGCTTTATCCCATTAAAGGAAGAGCAGGCTAGAATTAATATGACAAGTCTTTAATACAAGCTGTTTTATCAAACTGCCACTGTCTGTAATTTAGAATTTTCTTTTAAAAAGGTAAATTTTCGTTAATATTCCTAGTGTCAAAACAAAGTCCTGAGGAATGTAAGTAAGCAGCTTTATAATTAGGAGGTAGATGAGGTAGTGTTTGGGATTTTCTGTGTCAATCAGTGAATATAAGTTAGTGTTAAAGTGTTGTGAAGGGTTACTTAGGGCAGTCTCAGTCCATAATAGCTGTAAATAATTTTTTTGAAGACATTTTCTCGGTATGTAGTTCTGGCTGGCCTTGAACTCACTGTGTAACCCAGGATGGCCTCAAACTCATAGTGATCTTCCTGCCTCAGTGCCAGGTTTACAGGCATGCACTACCATGCCCAGTTTAACAGCTGTAAATCATTTAGATTTATTTTTGTTATTGTGTTTTGGATAAATATGCATTGGAAAATAAGCAAAAAACCACAGTATGTCATAAACTGAGTTTTTAAACTATGCTTTGTGGATAATGTTTCAGTGTTCCTAAATGACTAATACATTTAGGTTTCATACGTAAATATCAGTGTTAATTTTGAGTTGCCAAACCACTATTGTTTTAATACTGGGGATATATCTTTCAGTGAAACCATTGAGATGAAAGAGAAAAATACATCTTGCACTCTGTCCATGTTTTCATTTCACCATGGATCAGTAACTTCCCTACCACAGCCATCCCCAGAATCCACTGCTAGAGAATGAGGAGTCAGCAGGCACCCTGTTGTCCTGATTTTTAAGCACATGGAAGTACTTGGTGTTTTCTTCTTAGTAAGTGATCAGCTCTTCCCTTTAGTGAATGTAGGCCACATATTGGGCTGGCTTTTGGACAGGTCTTCATTTCACTCTTGTATGATTCTCTGTGGTGAAATGTATAAGAAATAGAACTAGGCATACTGGCACACAGTACTGCCAGCCACTTGGGAGGCTGAGGCAGGAGGATCTCAAGTTCAAACAACTTGAACTTGGGCAACTTAGTGAGACACTATCTCAAAAAGAAACAACCAACAACAACAAAAAAATCAAAGTTTGCACCCATACACACACACAAATGCACACAAACATGCACACACACACACGAAAGTTTTAAAAATAGAACCATTTTCTTTTTTCCTGGGAAAGGAAAATGCCATTGTTTAGTCTAAGGATAGAATTCAGTCAGTACTAGCACAGTGTTCATACAGATATTATATTTGTGGCCAGAAAACAGGAATACCTAGGACAGATTCTGCTTTCCCATTTTGAATCTATTATTATTCAAAATAATTATATATATATATTTTTTGGTACTGGGGATCGAACTCAGGACCTTGTGCTTGTGAGGCAGGTGGTGGCACCACTGAGCTAAATCCCTGGCCCAATTATATTCTTATTTTACTTAAAAGTAGAGTTACCATTGATACATTAGTAAATTCTGGGAGGTGTGTGTATATGCACACATATGTGTGTAGGTGTGCGTACATGTATGTGTGTGTACATGAATGTGTATGTGTGTAGTATGTGTGGTGTTGGGGTCAAATCCAGGGTTTTATTCATGTTAGGCAAGTGCTCTACCACTGAGCTACACCCATCAATGCCAATTTATGAACAATTCCCATTGCTGCTTTTTTAGCAGGGAAATTAATTATCCAGTAATTGGTTTACCAGCTTGGCTTATGAAACTGATTACCCTCTTGGATTTATTATCACCCTGACCCTGACTTTCTGTCTCCTCAGGCTGCCTATTCCCAAACTTGAAGACACCATTCAGAGGTACCTCAGCGCACAGAAGCCTCTCCTGAATGACAGCCAGCTCAGGTAAACACTGAAACTCCGAAGGACCGTGGTTGTTGTGGTTTGAGAGAGGCTGGCAAGTAGTGGTGAGTGGACCAAGCTTCAGACAATGTCTGCGACTTGATGGAGAACCTAGAATCCAGTTTCTGCAGTATCAAGTTCAGGAAATAGATTTTCGTTCATGAAGGTTTGACCAAGCCCTGAGGTGAGAGTTCCTCCAGCCTGACTCAACCAGAGGTGGTTTAGAAGCCAGAAAGCCAGGTTTGGACTTGACATTGGCAGGTGCAGCTGGCATGCCAGGTGGTACTGGTCATCAGCAAGAGGCCAAGAGGTGAGGTCCTAGTGGAGTGAAATAGGTCCTTAATCCAGTATGACTGGTGTCCTCCGAAGACAAAAGAGAAGAGACACAGAGAGAGGCATGTGAGGATGGAGGCATGGACTGGCGGGTCACATCCACAAGCAGAGGACAACAAACCCTGCAACATGCTAAGAGAGATCATGGAACAGATTTTCCCCTAGTGTCTTCAGAGAGAATATGGTCTTGTAGTTGCCTTGATTTTGTATATCTGGCCTCAAGGGCTGAGAGGGAACAAATCTCCCTTGTTTTAAGTCCCTCACAGTGTGTGATATTTTGTTATGGCAGCTCTACGAAACTAATACATAATGAAATCTAAAACTAATATTGGATATAAAAGAGAAAAAAATACTCCCCCAATAATGATATTGGATGTGGTCAAAAAGTGACTTATATGAAGCTATTGGAGTTCAGTGTGGTTCCATCATCTTTTTCCATAATGAGATTTTTTTTTTTTTGGCACAGATAACTGGCATTATATTAGAATCACAAAAGTCCTTTATTGGACAGTGACAGAGAAACAGACAAACTGTTCATATCTAGGCCCCTGCTTTTAAATATTCTTGTTTGTCACTTGAAGTTCCTCAGTATGGCAGCGAATTAACAGCTACCAGTTACTAAGTATTATGTTTTAGACTATTCTACATCCTCAGCTTTATATTTTTTAATCTTAAAAGGTGGTATTATCTCAGACAGACTGAATAACTTGTCCAGTGTCACATAATTCGAAAGAGACACACTTTTTATTCCAAACATTATGTCCTTTTCTCAATGCCAAACTGCTCCTTAGAGTACAGATCCTTTGTGAGATATTTATTGATCATCCTGATATCCTAGATTTATCTGTTTTAGATTGACTCCTGTTCTTCTATTCAGAGATAATTTCCCATTTCATTCCCAGCTTCCAGGATATGCTGATGAGAACCCAAGGCTCCATGTATGATTTCTTGGCCATGAGCCTAAAAATCATGTATTTCCTATTATGGTTTGAGCCTATCTTTTCTTGGACATTTCAGGCAAACAGAACAATTCTGTAAGAGTTTTAAAAATGGCATTGGAAAGGAACTGCACAAGCAGCTGGTTGGTCAGGACAAGCAGAATAAACATACAAGCTACATTTCAGGTAGGTCACCTGAGCTGCGGCCATGATTTTTGCCCAGATCCTTCCATAATGGGAAATAAGGTATCCTCTCCTGTTTTGGTCTCAGAAACATTCTTAGTGGGACCAGCATTGAAGTAATGGCTTACCACCTGTTCCTGAAGAGTTCCTCATGTACTAAGGTGTTGCCTGGCGCTTGTCCAGAAGCAGTGACTTGCTTTCTCTGTACTCAGGACCAAGACAGAATCTAATCCATGGCTGTGACTGAAAAGGAGGCAGAATTGAGTCCCATGTCCTCAGAGTGTCATTCCAGATCCTCCACAGTCTGGCTTCACTGCCCCCTGAAGCCTCATCTCATGACTTACCCTGCCACACCTCATGCTGCGACAAGCCTGAACTCTATATTGTTCCTTTTATCCTCTGTGCCTTCATCCCTATTGTCCCCACTTCCATTTTTCACCAGGCCAGTTCTTCCTTAGAAATCCAGTAGGGTGCTTTTTCCATGACACCTTAGTCCTTTTACCTCTCCATTCAGAATTGGTTACTTCCACCTTTTTGCCTTTGGTACTTTTAATTGAGTTTGTTTTGTATTAGTACATGTTTGCAGTACGTTCAGTTTACAGTCGTCTGAGGGAGTAGGTGCATGCACATAATACAGCTTGGTTCCCCTTCCCTCCTGCCTCCCTCCTTCCTTCCTCTAATCCCCTTTCTCCATTTTTGTTTTTGTTCATATTACTAATCTAATCTCAAGTTTATGACATATAATGTTTACATTCATTGAGGTTATTAGATTCCTGTACATGGCGTATCTTTATTCTACTTACAGTCCTTCCCCTCCCCTCTCCTCTCACTCATGTTCTCTCGGACCTCTTCGCATTCACAAGAGATCTGTTCCTTTATCTCCTTCTATCCATCCTTTATTGTTTGTACTTTGCCTCACTCAAATGAGAGATACTATGTGGTATTTAAGCTTCTGTGTCTGATTTATTTCATTCAATATTATATTTTCCAGGTGCATCCATGTTCCTACAAATGTCTAAAATTTGTTCTTCTTTATAGCTAGGTAGTAGTCCATTTTGTATAGATATCACATTTTCTTTATCCAATCATCTGTTGATGGGTATACAAACTGCTTTTAGGACTTAGCTATTATGTGCTGCTATAAACACTGGTATGCATGTGTCACTATTGTATGATTTTTTTGGCTCTTTAGGGAAGATACCTAGAAGAAGGATAGCTAGGTCACATGGAATTTCTACTTTCATTCTTTGAGGAATTTTCACAATGGCTGTACAGTACTAGTTTATATTCCCACCAACAGTGGGAATGGGAGGGTTCCTTTTTTCTACTGCAGTGATGGCATCACTTGTTATTTTTTTGATTTCTTAATGATTGTCATTCTTTCTGGTGTAGTTGATATTTTCATCAAGGTTATATATGCATATAACTTAAAGAATCAAGTGGTTCTGTAAACTTGTTAGAAAAAAAAGAACAGTTGCTTGACCTCCCTTAATTTCACACTTCTTACCTTCTTTCAGTTCCTCTTTTGAAACATACTTCCATACATCTAAATTATATACTTACATTTCTACATCTGATCCTTTTAGTTTTAGGCAGTTTCTGTTGACATCTTTCAGGGTTAATCTTGATTCTAAATTTAAATGGCTTGAGAGCCGCCTAGAGATTAGTAAACCACATTTCTTGGTGTGTCTGCGAGGGTCAGGGGGTGTGACCTTGGGGACTCTCTGCTCCCTAGCCCCTTAACCTTGGGCTCTCTTCCTGCTGTCTTTGCTTTCTGGCTGCCATGAAGCAAATGGCTTTCCTCTGCTTTGCCCTTGACCATGCTGTTTCTGCTTCAGGGCCAGCCAGTAATGGACTTAATCCTCTGAAACCATGAGCCAAAATATACCTCTCCTTCTTTAAGTTAGGCATTTTATCCTAATACCTAGGATAAACGGAAAGGTGACTAATACAACATGTCAATAACAAGTATTAGAATTTGAGGCTTCTTATCCCCCCAACATGAGTGTACATACTTCCTAGCCCCTCATTTTTCCAATATAGTTATTTAAAATATTGATTAACTCAATATCTCATGTTTATATATGTTTGTATGATCATATAAATGCTATTTGTATGATTATGTTTATATGATCATATAAATGCTATTGTCAGCTGAGTCATGTAACATATTGGGACTGTTTTTCCTTTCCTAGATAGATTTTTTGTTTTCTCTGAAGTTAATATTGATCACACTCTTTTTTTTTTTTTTCTAGTTTTCTATGTACTTAATAATGTCTCCTTACTCACCTCCCAGTTGGTCTAAATCTCTGAGGATATGAAAGCATACTACCTATTCTATGAATTTTGGTCTTCTTGACAGTCTCTTCCAGAACTTGACTTGCTCTTGTCTGGATTACAAACTCCTGACCTGTGGAGAAACTGCTCTCTCATGATCTTTCATCATCTGCCAGAGTGTTTCTTCATTTTTCTCCTGCTGGGACTCTTGTTTCTTGGGTTTTATATTTTGCCCTTCCTTGGCTTTTCTCTTATTTTGTCAGAGCACACTGCCCTTGGTATCTGGAATTAGGACATTACCTTAGTTACTTTCTTGTTGCTGAGACAAAATAACCCAACAAGTTAAAGGAGGAGAGGTTTATTTTGGCTCACGGTTTGTAGAGGTTTCAGTCCATATTTGGCTGGCTGCAAGGTAGGGCAGCATGGCGGAGGGGCATGGCAGAGGTGAAACAACTTATGGCATGGCAGAGAGGGATCAAGGGAGGAGGAGGGATATACATATATCAGGCCCACAGTGACCCACCTCTTCCCACCAGGCTTCACCTCCCAACATCACACCCAGCTCCAAACCCATCAGTGGACTGATTGAGTAATGAGTATCACACACCCATGATCCATTTACCTCCCCAAAGCCCTACTTGTGAGTGTATGAAGCTTTGGGGGACATTTTAGATATAAACTGTAATAAACATGAAAAGCAAAACTTTGAAAACTGCCCTCTGGCTTCAGTGATAATTTGTTCAGCTAGATTGTAAATCATTTTCCCACAGAATTCTGAAGATTCCATCGTTTTTCAGCTTCCAGAGTTGTATTTGTTAAATCTCAAGTGATTCGGACTCCTGATCCTTTGACTGCTTCTTCTGTTTTCTCCGTCCCTGAAAATTTTTAAGTATTTTTCTTTGTCCCCAGTGTTCTGAAATTTCGGATGATATATTTTGGTGTGAGTCTATTTGTACCTATTGTGCCAAGTCACTCTGTGATTCTTTTGACTCCAGAAACTAATGTCCTTCAGTTCTGAGATATTCTCTTTCTTATTCTTTATTTTCTCCTTTCTGTTTTTTCTAGAACTCTTATTCAGAGGTAGAATTTCTGATCCCGGTGCTTTGATTTTTTTTTTTTAATCTTTTCTCTTAGATTTTTTTTTGTCTCTTATTCCTTTTGTTTTGCTATCTGGGAGATTTGCTTATCTTCTGACCTTTCTATTGAGTTTGTAATTCATAATTTTCTTATTTTTTTCTTTTCAAGAGCTCTTTTATCCCCCTGCACTCTGGCTTAAACCCAGAGAATACTGAGTTACATTCCTACACCTTTTTATTTTGAAATAATATCTCACTAAATTGGCCAGGCTGGCCTCAAACTTGTGATCCTCCTGTCACCCTCCTAAGGAGCTATAGTTGCAGGTGTGCTACTATGCTTACCTCCATTTTTTGTTCTTAGGATGTTTCTGTGTTTTTTAAATAGTTTATCTCCAGAGTTTTTTTTTTTCAAATTTTTTTCTCACTTCATAATCTGTCTCCTCCAAGTTGCTTTTTTCCTGTTTGTTTTGCCTCTTCCTTTTCCAGATGCTTCTTCATCCTTCCTTGTCTTAGATATGAATGAGATATTAAAAAGCCTTGGAGGGCTCCGTGGATGAGGGTGGGGCTTCGTGGTAATGTGATTTTGCTAAACAGTTGTTCCTAATAGTTGTGATTTTGGATTAGATTCCCCAGTAGGGGTTTTCCAGAAAAGGTTGCTAGTTTATAGAGGTAGGATAAGGGAGGGAGGTTGAAGAACTGAACTATAGGTACGGTAAGGAGGGAGATTGAAGAGCTCACCTGTGACTTATGTTTTACTTGATTTAGAGAATAAATCTTAAGAGTGGGGAGGGAATAATGGGTTGGTGATGATAATCTCATTATTTTTCAACCAGATCTATCTAGGCTACCAAGTACTGAGCACTTGGGAAGCTCTGGTGTGTAAATCAGGTTATTTCTTGTCTGTCTTTTGCCAGTTCAGGGTTGGCTTTCTTGATTCTGTTTTGGTCATTGCCAGTTACCTGATTATCTTTGAGCTTCTAATATTTGCTCTTTTCACGGTCTCTTGGCCTTACTGGTTTATGTCTCTCTAGAAGTAATTTATTCAGGAATGGGCTGGGGGCTAGAAGCATGAATATGTCTTCTTTTATCAAATATGTATTACCCATTGGTACTTCTTTTCTCTCACCATTTTAGTACATTATATTACATTTGAGTTGTTTGTTGCCTTCACCAGAGTTCTTAAGAACCAAAGACCATGTCTTGTTTCCCTCTGAATCCCTTGGACCAGGGCCTACCTTTGATTCTCAAGAAATGGAATAGAATGAATGGACTGATGAGTAAATACTAGATAAATTTGCATTGATTAATCCTTTTCCCAGTGCTACCTGTGAAAATGATTTCCTCCAATGGAGATGGTCCTTGTTTATAGAGTCTATCCATGTTGCTAACCCCAGCAGGAACTTCCCTTGCAGATACATTTCCTGGTAAAACATTGCTTCTTTATAGCCAAAACATCCACAGGGTTGCAAAGGGCTAAGAGATAGCCACACACTGATAGTTATTTCTGATTGGTTTCTGAATACTTCCTAAAAGAGTGTACAGATTTATCCAGCACTCAGAAGGACAGTGAATACTGTCCCCCACCTGCCATTAAGAAGATAATCCAGGGTAAATATTGTCCCTAAAAGGAGATGAAGCAAGACAAACCTACAGAGATGGGGGCGAGAATTAACCATTCAGTTCCAGCATGAGGTGTCCCTGTATTTTATTCCCTTAAGAACAAGAAAAGAAATAGAATGAGAAGAACGAGCAATTGATGCACATTAGGGAAATGCGGATCACACACAATGGTGCACTACTTCAGACCTATCAGAATGGCTCCAGTCACAGACATACAAGCTGGGTGTGGTGGTGTGCACCTGGAATCCCAGCTACTTAGGAGGCTGAAGTAGCAGGATGGTGAGTTGGCAGTCAGCCTGGGCAACATAGTGAGAGCTCATGACAAAAAAAAAAATTACAAGTGCTGGTAAGGATTAGAAATTGGAACCCTCCATACAGCCACTTTGGAAAATGACCTGAAAGTTCCTAACAAGGTTTAACAGGGCCAGGTGTGGTGGCACATGCCTGTAATCCCAGCACTGTAGGAGACTGAGGCAGGAGGATTGTGAATTTGAGCCCAGCCTGGGCACTTTACCAACTTAGTGAGACCCTGTCTCAAAATTTTAAAAAGGCTGGGGATGTAGCTCAGTATGAAGGTATTGAGTTCAATCCTTAGTACTGAAAAAGAAGCTTAACAGATACTTACCTCATAACCTAGCAAGTCCACTCTTATTTATAGATAGATACATTTAGATATCTATCTACTATACTACTATCTATATATTTATATTTATATCTGTCTATATCCTCGAGAGAATTGAGAATATGTCTGTACAAAAACTTGTACATGAAGGTTCATAGCAATATAATTCATAATAGCTAAGAAGAAACAACCCAGATGTCTATTAACTGATAAATGGATAAACAAAATGTAGTATATTCATACAATGGAACATTATTTGACAGTAAAAAGAAATGCTACATGCTACAACATGGATGAACCTCAAAAACATTGAAAGTGACAGAATCCAGATGCAAAAGACCATCATAAATTGTGTGATCTCATTTATGTCATAAATTATTGCACAGACAGAAAATAATCATGAAATTCTACCCTGTGGAGGTTGATATCATTTCTTCTGGCTATGCTAGAATTTTTTTTTAGCGGGTGCACTAACTCTTTATGTTGACTTTTTTCTCTTTCTTTCTTAGGGCCCTGGTTTGATATGTATTTAACTGCTCGAGACTCCATTGTTCTGAACTTTAATCCATTTGTGGCATTCAATCCTGACCCAAAATCTGAATATAATGACCAGCTTACCCGGGCAACCAACATGGTTGTTTCTGCCCTCCGGTTTCTGAAGACACTGCGGGCTGGCCTTCTGGAACCAGAGGTGTTCCACTTGAACCCTGCCAAAAGTGATACTAATACCTTTAAGAAACTCATACGCTTTGTGCCTTCCTCTCTGTCCTGGTATGGGGCCTACTTGGTCAATGCATATCCCCTAGATATGTCCCAGTATTTTCGGCTTTTCAATTCAACTCGTTTACCCAAACCCAGTCGGGATGAACTGTTTACTGATGACAAGGCCAGACATCTCCTGGTCCTAAGAAAAGGACATTTCTATATCTTTGATGTCCTGGATCCAGATGGGAACATCGTGAGCCCCTCAGAAATCCAGGCTCATCTGAAGTACATTCTCACAGACAGCAGGCCTGTGCCTGAGTTTCCTCTGACCTTCCTGACCAGTGAAAACCGGGACGTCTGGGCAGAGCTCAGGCAGAAGCTGATGCACAGTGGCAATGAGGAGACACTGAGGAAAGTGGACTCTGCTGTGTTCTGCCTCTGTCTAGATGACTTCCCCATTAAGGACCTGGTCCACTTGTCTCACACCATGTTGCATGGCGATGGCACAAACCGATGGTTTGACAAATCCTTTAACCTTATTGTAGCCCAGGATGGCTCTGCTGCTGTGCACTTTGAGCATGCGTGGGGTGATGGTGTGGCAGTGCTCAGGTTTTTCAATGAAGTGTTTAAAGATAGCACTCAGACCCCTGCCATCACTCCCCAGAACCAGCCAGGCACTGCCAACTCTTCTGCTTCCGTGCAGAAACTCAGCTTCAAGCTGAATGATGCCTTAAAGGCTGGCATCACTGCTGCCAAGGAAAAGTTTGATGCCACCATGAAAACCCTAACTATTGACTGTGTCCAGTTTCAGAGAGCAGGCAAAGAATTCTTGAAGAAGCAGAAGCTGAGCCCTGATGCAGTGGCCCAGCTGGCCTTCCAGATGGCTTTTCTGCGGCAGTGCGGGCAGACAGTGGCCACCTACGAGTCCTGCAGCACCGCAGCCTTCAAGCACGGCCGCACTGAGACCATCCGCCCAGCCTCCATCTTCACGAAGAGGTGCTCCGAGGCCTTTGTCAGGGAGCCCTCCAAGCACAGTGTCGGCGAGCTCCAACAGATGTTGGCTGAGTGTTCCAAGTACCATGGCCAGCTGACCAAAGAGGCAGCAATGGGTGAGGCGGAGTGGGGAGCATGTCCTAAGGTCCTGTTGCCCTTGGTTAGGGCCCTTCCATAATATATCACCTTGTATCTGATTTCTGTGCTGTCACTAGGTTTAGTCTACCTGCCAGCTCCCCGAATGATTGCTTTCCACTCTAGCAGTCTAAAGAGCCAGACCAGCCACTAGGGATCAGAATGACCTCATGTCCTCCACAGGGATGGGGAAATGCATCTAACTTTTCCCTCATTTAAGGTCACTTTCAGCTGTAACGCATGATTCATTCATTCTGTCTGTCTCTCTTTCTCTTTTTTTTCTTTAATGACTTATTGGTTACTGTCAGGTAAAAAAAGCCGAAAACCAAGTCGAGACCAGGGCACAACAAGCCTTTATCGTAGGGACAATCTGCCGGGCTGCCTCTGAACAAAGGAGAGACAAAAGCAATATGGCCAGGACGGGGAGTGCTTCTTATAGGAGCTGGGGTGGGCCTTGTAGGAGCTGGAGGGGGGTGGAATGAGGTAGTGGCTAGGGACGGGAGGAGCCGGTGACGTCATTAGCTGTTAGGAGGAGAGCAAGTATTAGGTTACTCTGCTCTTTTGGTGGGAGTAGGGGCATGTTGGGAAGAAGGAGGTAGTTATTATATAGAGCAGCCACCCTAAATTGGAAGGAAACCGATCAGTTACCAGACTCACTTTTGACAATCTAAGGTTTCTAAGCTGTAGCCTCTCTTCCTTCTCTTCAGATTAGTGTGTTGGCTCCCTAGAAATAGGATATCTTAGAAGCTCTTCCCACTTTCAAATATCATCCTTCTTTGCCTCTTTGTGATAAAATTCAACACTTGGAAAGGATGTGGCAGATCCCTTGGTCCAGTCTTTCTGTGTAGCTATAAAGTCCTGAAACTGAAAGGGACCTCGGAGACCTAGTGTTCTCCTCTTCCATTTGTAGGTAGAAAAATGGGACCACTGGCCCAGTGTTATACAGCAAATGCAAGGCTGCTTCAATCTTGTCTTTTACATGTGGATTGGACTTTGAGTTTTGTCTTAGTTTTGTGTATGCATGTGTGCTAGAGATTGAATCGAGGGCCTTGCACATGCTAAGCACATGGTCTACTACTGAGCTACATCTCTAGCCCCATATCTTAGTTTTTGAGTCTGTAGTTTTCTTGTATGGTCTTGACAGTTGAAAGTGACTCAGTTTTTTAAAATCATGCTTCCATGTTATGTTCAGTTTTTAGCTCAGCTGTTGACAGCTGAAAAAATATTTTTAAAATAATGTAAAACATTCTGGAATGAGCTGCCCCAAAGGTAAGTGTGCTGGAAGTACGCATGCAGAGGTAGACAGCCCCTTCTTCCTCTCTCCAGGATGCTGAAGATTCCCACCATGGCTAGGGGGGTTGCCTATGGTCCTTTCAGTTCTGAGATTCTTTTTGCATTTTCTCTTGACAGGCCAGGGCTTTGACCGACACTTGTTTGCTCTGCAGTACCTGGCAGCAGCCAAAGGGATTGCCCTGCCTGAGCTCTACCTAGACCCTGCATATGTGCAGATAAACCACAACATCCTGTCCACCAGCACGCTGAGCAGCCCTGCAGTGAGCCTTGGCGGCTTTGCCCCTGTGGTCCCTGATGGCTTTGGCATTGGCTATGCCGTTCATGACAACTGGATAGGCTGCAATGTCTCTTCCTACCCGAGACGCAATGCCCGGGAGTTTCTGCAGTGTGTTGAGAAGTCCTTAGAAGACATGTTTGATGTCTTAGAAGGCAAATCCATCAAAACTTAGCTTGCAGGTGGGTGAACAACTTTCATTGCTTCCTCATCACAAAAATGGGGTTCCATGCAGCCAATAGGTGCTATTCTGTGCTTAAACTAATCATAGGTGCCTAAGCAGCCAGTGCCTGAGCTGTAAGATCAGAGTTTTAAAACCAAACATGTCATTGCTGAGTGGGAATAAATTACAACTAAAGATAATGAGAGATTGCAGTTTTAAGGCCCTTTGATCAGGAGATTGGGTTTGTAAAAATAATTCAGGGTTATTTATTGTTTACGCAGAAATAAAATTGAAATATTGCTCAGAAATGGTTCGTTTTGTTTTGTACCACGGATCGAACATGGGACCTTGCGCTTTCGAGGCAGGTGGCGGAACCACTGAGCTAAATCCCCAGCCCAGAAATGGTTCTTAATTTTTTAAAAACCTAATTTCCTAAGCCCCATGAAGAACTTCCCAGCTGTAAGTTCAGGTAGCAGTGAGTTCCCGTTGGCTCCGGCTCTTCAGGTGGTATGGGAAGCAGTTTCAGCCTCTGTAAACTTGCCTCTCTCTCGGCAGGTTATCTGTTTCAAAGCACTCTTTGCTTTCCTATAGAGCGAACTGCTCTGCACTAAAGGCTCTTCCCACGGATTCTGGGACTGCTGTTTTACTCCTCGTCTAGCCAAATGACGATTTAGAGTGGGCATGTGTTTGGAGCATGTTTGCTGGTTGTGGTTGCAGGAAGCAGACATCGGTCTACCTTCTGCAGTAGAGGACCTCTCCACTGAGTGAAATGAACACAGAATTTATTTTTCCTCCCCAGTTTATTGTTAGAACATTGCTGTAATGTAGAAGGACAAGTATTTTTAATTTGTTTTTGGAAAGGAAGAGGTTTTGTGTTTAATCCTTCTGTATCCTCAGTGGCTTCTCAGTGGAGTTACTGATACAGCTGGGTTTGAAATTTGGTAACAGGTCAGTCACAGATCACTTTCAGTGTATTACCTCATTTAATTCTCTTTGTAATTCGTACAGCATGAGGTGTTACAAAAGATTAACAACAGGTGAGGCACCTGGCACAAAGCTGAAGCTAATCTCTTCTGTTATTGCTTTGAGGATGCCGATTGCTTCTCCTCCATTCCTGAGTGAGGTGCCGACCCCTTGATAGCAAGTTCCCTGTAGCATTAACCTATAAGACCAGTGTGTTAGCAATCTTGCAGGGCTGACAAATTTTACTTAATCTGGAGATTTAGGCTGAATGTACTGGGCTGCACAACTTGGTATATATTGGCCTGTCAGTGCTCAGCATCCCTCTCTACAACAAACCCTACCCTTCCTTCTCATCTGGGAAGCATGTGATAAAGGGTTCTAGATGGTAGGTAGGATGGCAGACACTTAACTGTTAAGCTTCAGCCTAACTGCGGCTCATACACAAGTCCTACACATTTGTGCAGAACTCTGCCATCTGTAAAGCTCATCTCTAGGCATTGGCTGACTTGATCCTGTGAGCTCTGGATGTGTTGTGGTCATGGGGAGGTCACCTGATAAGTGGCAGAACCAGGGCCAGCTCTTCTGACCCCGTGTTCAGTGCTCTGTGTGTCTATTTGTTTATGCATCCAGTAATTACATCTGACACCAGCTGGTCTCCTAGCTCAGGAGAGTGAACTTTGTTCACTTAGTCTCTGCTGTTCCCAACCTTAAAGCAGCTCCCCTGTTTGGTGCAGGTGGCTTTCTCTGTTCATGACCTCTGAGCAGGTGTGGCCCATCTGCAGACACAGCCACACCGGCCTCTCTGGAGATTTATCTGCTCCTTGCTATGCCTGCAGGACCCCAGACTAGGTTTATGGGTACCACGACTAATGTCTTTTAAAACACCCTGCTTCGTTTTCGTCTCTCCCTCCCTCCCTCCCTTTTTTCTTTCTTTCCTTCCTTCCTTCTTGACTGATTGACTGGGTGAGTCAGTCAGCATCTCACTATGTAGTCCACACTGGCCTTGAACTCTCAGTGATCTTCCTGCCTCAGCCTCCCGAGTGCTGGGACTACAGCTGTGCGCTATCATTCCTGGCCCCCGGGTTTATTCACATACCAGACAAAGTGCATAATTCAGTTATCTTAGCGTGCAGTCATAGAAACATTGCCACAATCAGAACATTTTCTGATTTTCTTCCCAGAAAGAAAACCCATACCTATTGTCACCCTTCCTCCAACCTCCTAACTTCCCCAAACCCTAGACAATCATTCATCTTTCTGTTCATAAATTTTCCTATTCTGAAAATTTCATGTAAATAGAATTAGATACGTGGGCTTTTGTAATTGGTTTCTTTCACTTAGTATGTTTTCTGTGTCCACCCATGTTCTAGCATAGGTTGTTTACACTTTTGGGCTACTTGAATAATGCTGCTGTGGATATTTGTAAATTCTATTTGGGGTGGGGGGCTACCCAGAATTAAACCTAGAGCCTTCTTCACAGTTAGCTACATCCCCAGCCCTCCCTGTTTTTGTTTTTTTCGAGACAGGGTCTTGCTCTGTGGTTCAGGCTGGCCTCAGATTCACAGTGCTCCTCCTGACTCAGCTTCCCGAGCCCTCCCTCCCTTTTTAAGAATTTCACTAAATCGCCCAGATTGAGCTCCAATTTATGATCTTCCTGCCTCAGCCTCCAAGAGTGCCGGGATTACAGGTGTGCCATACATTTTATGTAGAGATGAGTCATGTTGCAACTCTGCACATTTCCCATCAGCAGGGGATGAAAACTCCAGTTTCTCATGTCTTCACCAATACTTGTTACTCATGTTATTTTTTATTGTAGCCATTTTATTTTGATGGGTGTGAAGTTCACTGCTGTTTTCCATTTTAAAGAGAAGCAAGCAGCAGCTGTTTGGCTCACTGAGCAGTGGAGACAGCGTTGTGAAATGACGGCCGTGGCTAGCTAGGCAGAGTCCCTGGGGCTTCTGGCCTCTCTGGGAATCAGCAGAAATTATTACTGTGCATAAGGCTTGTGGCCTGGCTGTACCCAACCTTAAATCTCATTGTTAGGCTCAAAAACCCAAGATTTTGCACAAAGCCCAAGTTAAGAAAAATGGTACCAGACAAAGATGGTACTTTAAGAAAAAAAAAAGCTGTACAGGGACAATAAAAGAGCACACTGAGGAACTTCACAGAATGTACAGAGCCAAAAGGGAATTTAGGACTCGCCTTCCACCGTCTCCATTTTGAGTAGCCTCAACTTGTACCTGGATAGGACACTGCTATCCTGGAGTGTGGAGCAGGGAACTGCCTGTTATTAATCACTTACCGTAAATGTATCTAGGCCCGGGTATGAGGGCTAGAGCCTAGATGTGCCACCATTTGTGCTGATCTCAAGTAACATATTCAGAGCTGAGAGCGCCCTAATTTTTAGATGGAGAGAATGAAGTCCAGAGAAGGGAGGCACTTGCTCTGTTTACAGGGAGCTAGACTGAGCCCCGGGACTGAGCCCACATACCCAGTGCCAAAGCACTGAAGCTCACTCATTCTTGGAATAGATCTTTGAATGCAGCAGAAAGTAGGGTTCCAAACTTACTTTATTATACAAAATTGAACAAAACTACTTCAGCACATTTATTGATGAGTTAATGTACTGATCTGCAACACCATGTCATTATCAATTTCATGTATCAACAGGTCCCTTTAGTTCCTATTCTCCTGGGCTATTTGGATATCCAGTGCCAATACCATACTGGCTCAATTGTCACTGCCTTATAAATACACCGTGATAGCTGGCAGGGGAACTCTCCCATCTGTGCAATTTAGATTTCAGAATCAAATTCCACTAGAGAAGTTGAGACTTCAGTAAGAACTTACAAACTCATTCTATCAACTTTATAGTATCTTTATAATATCGTATCAAGCCTTCCTATCCATCAGTACTGCAGATCTTCATTTATTTAGTCTCTATTTTTCAGTAATGAATCTCTCTTTGTAGATGTGATAGAAAGTTCTTTTTAGTTACCTTTGAGCGGGTTATCTTTTGGTTGGTATTGTGATTATCTTTTCTTGAATTATCAGTAGTGTACTGAAATGCATTCAATTTCTGTAAGTTAATCTTAAACCTAGCACCTGTTAATTCTTTTGGACTAGCAGAAAATCATTATCTGTGAAGAACTGAGTTGTTTCTCCCTTCTCTGTCCTTTCACCTTTATCATCGTACCACACCAGTGGCACCTCCAACACAATGAACAGCAGCCATGGTTGAGGGCTCCTCGTCTCTCCTGACCTTGAGTGTAGTACTTCAAACACTTCATCACTGATTAAACATGGCACTTGCTCTAGGTTTTCTGTGGATATCTGTTGTCAGGTGAGGACAGTTCCTTTTTATTCCTAGTTGCTAAGAGTTTGATTTGTTAAATGGGTAATGAATTTTACTGAATATCTTTTCTTCTTTTCCAGTTTTCTTTTAACCTGTTATGACCACTTGAGTTCTCCTACCTCTTGACATAACCAAAATATTTTAAAATATAAGAAAATCTTGACCTCTTTAGTGTTTGACTTCTTGAACTTACATGCTGGCTGATACAGAGACTAAAAGCAAGAAAAGCTGCTTCCCCCACCCTGTGTTCCTTGTGTGACTGGCTTCCAGTCGAGATAGTGCATTGGGCAGTGGGCAAGGGGCAGGCTGAGGGAGGACTGCAGAAGTCCTGCTGTCAGATGCAGAAGAGACCAGGCAACAGGAAATGCACGTGATTTAGAGGATACAATGTGGCTGCCAGACTGAAAGAGGGACAAGGTAGGGACCTGTTTACCACCCCTGCACACAGCCAACTTTGCCTGAAACCAAAGATTTACTTCCTAGAGCCCCACAGCCAGCCTGGGAGTTGGCAGACCCTTTCCCACTCACAGAAAGTGGTAGCCACAGATATTTTTTCTTCCAAAGAATTCCCAGTTCCAGCAGAAGAGTGAATTAAGATCTGTGGTAACAGGTTTTACAAATGGTGGGTTCACCAGAGTGGAGGCACGTGGATCCTCTCATGGCCTAGCACTTGTCTGGTGTGTGGGGATCTTGGGCCCATGAGCAGCTCTTGACTACTCTCTTCACAACGCCAAAGTACTGCCTGGAGGCAGAAGAACATGTAAGTGTGGCCACAGCGGGCAAACCAGGATCCACAGAACTTCAGGGAGCACAGAGCCTGCCTCAACACAAGGAAGAACTTTCAATCTGATGCTCCAGATGAGCCGAGAGTGCCCCATCACAGCAAGTGAGCAGAGATCTGATGACCATTAGCCAGGAATTATGCAGAGCGGAAATAGACCAGGAGTGAGCTGCTGAAGTGACACCAGCTAACAGATGTTTGGGTTTACCTGAGAGGCAAGTTGGTAAATGCAGTGTTTTGGCTCAGGACTGCTCGGCTCATGGCACCATTCCACAGGCTTCCCTGGCCTTTTTTGCCATGGCTTTGACACCTTCAGTCCTCTGGGTCCCACTCTCCATGATTGGAGAGCCATTAGAAGCATGTGCTCCTGCATGTTTTGCAAAGTGGATCAGGGACTCAGGACCAAAAGAAGGCACCAGAAAGCTGAGCCCAGAAAGCTGAGCCTTCCAGTGCCCATTTTTATTTGTGGAAGGAGGGGCTGCTTCCTGACTCTTCCTTCACGCACCAGGGCAGCAAGAACAGGGGCTTATTGGTGAGGCTTAGGAGCTAAGACAAAGCCCAGCATGCAGATCAACAGGGCACAGTACAGCTGCCAAGAGATGAGGGACACAGGCACCAGCCTCTGCAGGTGCTACTGCTTGGGGCACTTTGTCTCTTCCCAGTTGTTAAGGAGAAGTAGGCAGCAAGGGGGTTTAGCACTTCACAAACTGGTGTGTGACCTCGAAGATTCCCACAGACTCCTGAGCCTTTTCATCATAGTCAGTCCAGTCCTGGGGAATAAGAGGGCAGTGTTAGCCTCACAGCACAGAATGGGTAACTCTGCACAGTGGCCAAGAGACACTGAAGCTTTGGCTCAGACACTCACGAACATGCAGGACCCAGGACAGAGCCGCAAGGCTTGGCCTGAACTCCAGCTCCTTCAGCTCTGTGTCTGTGTCCAAGTCACTGAGCTCCTCTAAGCCTCAGTTCTGTTCTTTATTAAGAAAAGGGAAGACAGACGTGGAAGGAAGCTCCCTCACTGCCATCCCATGCTCCTAGGGCAGAGAAGCTGAGCAGCGTGGGTGCCAAAAGCACCCCCCACCCCCACCCCGCACCGTGGAAATGAGAACACACGTAAACAAGCCTCAAAAACAGACTTCTGGATCACCTACAGCAACTGCAAAGGGAAACGAGATGAAACACTCTGATACTCAACCACCTGGACTTTCTGAACTGGCAACAAAAGAGGATCTGGGAAAAATGAAATCAGAAATAATTACTCAGAAAACAGCAAAGATTGTGCTCATAGTGCAAGACATGATTAATAAATCTAGAGAGGACACAGATTAAAAAAAAACAGAGGATCTGAGGAACATGATGGAA